CAGTCGAGACGCGCTTCGCGATTCTTGGCGGAAATCAGTGGTTTCTTTGCTGGACGTCGTCCAAACAAACCGGCTTCTCTCAGTCGACGTTGTACAGTGCTCAAAGATGGACTCGGCCCTTCGAGCGTCGATATTTCGCGAAGAATCTCGGCTGCAGTGAGAAGCGGATCGTTCCTTGCAAGCCGCACAATGTTCCTGTCCACAAGACGAGACGTCGTTCTCGCTGCTCCTGGGTGTTTTTTGACTTCTACCGACCCTGTGTCCTTATATTTCTTCCAAATCCTCTGAACACATCTAATTGTCACTCCTTGAATTTCTGAAACTTGCCTTGATGTTAAGCCTGCGTGGAAGCTCCGAATTATGGCATCAACTTGGTCTTTCCGCAAGTTACGGATTCCGGCATGCCTTGCCATAGCCTTAATAACGTAGTGAGTGCATGACGTGACTCAAAACATCAAGAACCACCCGAAATTTTCAATATAAAAACCCACCAGTTATAGAAGGTAGAAATGTGTGCTGGCGGGCGATTTGAAAATAAAGCGCCAGTTTTGCTTGGAAATGTGATGCTGGGCCATTACAGCAGTATAATATTACTAACTGCCTAAGTTTTCTACTGTTTGAGTTTCTAGCAGAAAGCTTGAGTTTTGAGGAAGTTATGTTCGAAAATGTGAAAACGAATACTTCACTGACCGGTATGAAATAAATCTACTACCTATGCCAGCCAATTCAGCGATCTTTCCTGCCCAAGGACCAGCAGCATTTACTATCATATGAGCTCGAATCGGCCGAGCTGACGTATCAGACATTTGTGGACGGACCTGAACATGCAGAAATTACTGAGAAATGAACAAACTTAAGTATAAAACATGGTAAAAGTGGACTGACAAATACACCCGAGATTTTCTGAGCACGAAGCTTTTCCTGATCAGCGATCTCGTGGTCTTCCATTGCGTGAGGCTCTGGTCTCGTTCGACTTCGCTCGAATTGGAAACCTTCCACCTCACCTTTGACATACTGCAATGGGTTGTGAACTATATAAAGCTATAACAGTACAACGAAGACAAGACAAAAATTACCTGTACCCCAAGCGTAATATTCTTTTCACGAATGGCCGACAGTAGCTGCCAAGTGTCAAATGTACCCTCATTCTCCAGGCCTAATACAGAAACAGGGCATTATTAGTACGATATAAACATGGGTTTACCTAAGGACGCCTTGACAAACCTAAAGTCGCAAGGACAATATCGTCCACCTCCATGAACGGAAACCGCTCTTTCAACTGGTCCTTGGACAAAAGTGCTACGCATGCTCCCTTATCACTAAAAAGAAATATTCTCTTCACTATAGCGATGTCCTCAAGAATATATTTGGTTTTTTCACTCACAGTTGAGTTCTCCAGCTCTTCCTCAACGTTTCAGCCTGCTCCTCATTAAGGGCGATATTAAGATATCCATTCGGCAGCAAGTTTATGTCAGGCGTAGCGTTGTCTGGAAGAAAAATGAAACCATTCTCGTACAAAAATCGTAAGTAATCCCTGATAAGCTTAAGTTATGCCTAGGATGCGAAGATGCTCTCCAGCATGGCGGAGAAATTCGGCCGTGAAAAGGGACATCTCGATATGCTCAGGAATAGAGAACTGTTGAGAAATACCGCCGGTTGAAAGCATAGTAGAGCTTTGAGTAAACCTGGAAAAACAAAGCTCAATATAGGAAAAGGTAGCTGAACACTTGATTGAATTATACCTGTCGTTGTTCTCAACTACTACAACCTTGAAGTCTTCATCTCGAAAGCGCTCCTTGAGCCAGTAAGCTGTTGATGAACCTAGAACGAAAGCAAAACATAAGCACAGCCACAAGCTCGGAAACGCCTTCCCACCTGTCAATCCTCCTCCAATGATGAGTATCTCTGCCCGAAAAGGAAATAATTCATTGTCAATCACTGCTTGTTTCATGTGTGCCACAGGGTTACGACGTTTGAATGCATCCCTTCGCGCCTGAACCGTAGGATTGGGAAGTTAGGCGAAACATAAGGTTTTAGTCATTCATAGGAATAATTTGATCGGAACACTCTCTGTCTTCTAGATTCAACGAAAAGGCACATTCTCACGAGTGTCTGCGCAGAAAAGAAGGTCTAATCCGTTATGCTCATGCGACAGCTCCAGGCAAAGAAGCTAACTGCTGCATTTCTATGCGATAAGTTTTTCGCAAACTGAGTGCACGATTTGATGGCCATGAGACTTCTGAGAATTTCAGTAGCTTTAAAGAAGTCTAAGAGATAAATAAAATCTAAAAACGAAACGCGCGAATAAATTATGAATAGACGGATTAAGGACGCAAAAACAGGACTTTGGGAGTACCTCTTGATATCGACGCTTCCATCGTCGAAAATCGTAGGTAAGTCCGTGCCATGTCCGCTTCAAGTAATCTTCTCCAGGCTCATAATGACGCTCGTTCTCAAAGGTCTGCCAGAGGCTTGGAATAGAAGAATGAATACACCGCGATGAATGAGCTAATTCGCGGCGTATTAACGAAGCGAACATAAAGAACAACCCTGAAATCATAAAAGAAGTTTCAAACAATTGACCGCTGAACGAGCGAAAAGACTTCAATAGCGGAAGCTAATTAGCTAGCAATTTGTCAGATTTCAGCAAGCTCACAATGATTGGATAAAGCCAATACCAGTACCACTGATCACGAGCAATTTTAGCAGTTATAACGTTTTTACTCGAAGGAGCGACAGAAGGGAAAATGAGAAAGAACCGCTTCAACTACCTTACGTCTGCTATTCTTGGCTATCTGACCACCTCCATTCACTCAGATTCTTACATAGATCCGCTAGCATCAGTGAAATTCTATCAACCCTGCTTCTCAGTAATCCCTTCCTCGCAGAACAACGAATCTAACACGGATGCTATCAAACACGGGGTATTAGATTTTCAAAATAGAAATGAGAAATGGAATTTTTAAAAATGTAGTTAGGACTGGAGGGAGCCGCTCTTTCTTAACACTGAGCGCTAGGATCCAGAAAGGGAGGGATGGCGGACCTTATTCGTACCGTCTGCAGATAAGTTTTAACTACTAAGGCAAACAGATGCTACTTATATCAGTCTACTCTCGGGGTTACCGGACTGTTGTCAACCAAAGTTCTCTTAAAGTTCTCTTCGGTGACAGAACCAGCCGAGGATTCATAACCTTATCTTACCATAACGTCAGTATGCATATAAAGGAAGCATATAAATAAAATATAAATATAATATAAAGGAAGGATCATGAGCAGGGACACGAGGACTATAAATAAACAAAGCAACTACTTCCTTGGAATTCTGCGCTCTACGGCGCTGGCCGCAACGCGCCTGCTCATCCAAGACGGCCTACGGACTACTTGAACTCGGTTCCTTTAAATTTGCCGGATGCGTCATTTTTCTGCCCTCGTCTGGCGCACTCCCGTTTGATGTGGTCTTTGCGTGTTGTGCTCGCCTGTCCAATGNGGCTCCCACCACCACCGCCGTAGGCTTCACCCGGAGTGTTTTTCTCTGGGCTCTAGCCTCTTGCCGTCAGAGATGCAGAGAAAGTTCAAGTAGTCACGTAACCATCCAAGACCTGTCCATTTGGTGTTCAAAGTCGTCCACGTTTTGAGTGCTCTGCGCCTGACGTGCATGGCCACCTGAGGCCTTCTCTGCTCTGTGCTGCCCAACTATTAAAATAGCTACGCTTTTATTCTTGATGGCTTACATCACATGTGCCCCTATCCAAGGAGCGAAGTGAACGTGTCACGGCAGCCACCATGGATCTCATAGATCTCTATCATGCGGACGACGAGCATTTCGCATCTCCGGACATCAACGACAATCAGGCTTTTGTGCACAAGTTCCCGAATGGCGCTGAGAAGTTACGGAAAGCATCCACAAAGATGAAGAAACCACGATTTGTACCATGGGAGCCGTTCAGAGCGGCACCGAGCGCTGATAGGTACAAGCTTTCATTCGTCAATTATATAACTTTCTTATAAGTACTTTCTCGTCTCTGAACTAGTCCCTTCAAAAGGAGTTGTACCCTCACCAAGTTGTCTGATGTTTATGCCTTTTTATGGATTGTATCTTAATTAATTGATCAAGGCGTTAATTTGAAATACAGCCAACAGGGAAAAGTGTCTTACAGTTAGCCCACTGAGCTACGTAAAAAGCACTGCATTGATAAAAACTGTCGTTGAGGACGTAGTTGGGGGAAGCACATAGTGTTAGAGGCTAGGGAGTGTCACCTTTAGTCTCTAGAACTGAGCGTTGGAGCTAAGAGAAGAAGAGATAGCCGTAATAGCGATCCCGTAATGGTGCTTAGCAACGTTGCTTAGCCAAAGTAATAAAGTTTCTTGTCTAGGAACTAAGCCATAGGGGAAGGAACGGACGGGTGAGATGATTTCCTTAAGCAAAAGCTGAGATGGAATAGGATCTGAACATCTAAATAACTGGCAGTGATTGTAATTCGCATGTCTGGTTGGCTTGTGGGTTGAAATTAAAAATTTGTTTGAGTCGGTAGTGTCATTCAGTAGGCTGAAAACTCTAAAAAGGAGTTTTAGAAAAGGCCAGATACCAGTGGACATGCCGGAGTTGATACCCTATTCGACCAAACTACTCGATGAAGATTCCGACAGATGTTCTTCTAAAGGCGAGCGATTGGTGGACACACGAAGAAATCGAACGAATGAAAAGGATTGTGACCGGTCTGAAAAGGTGAGGGTATCTCACTTAGTTTTCCATATCTGGGATATGATCTCACTTTCAACCTCGAGCCTGCTTCTCTTATGCTGTCGGGTTTTTTTCTCGAAAAATTCTGGTGACATCATCTTTATTTGTTTAGGAGATCTACTTAGAAAAACAGCTGGTTGAGTTGAAATCTGAATTGGAAATCGAGCGTAAGCTCAATTCAGAGCTGAAGCGCTTGATGGTAGCTACTATTAGTGACGAACTTCAAGGACAAGTTGAAGCTTTAACGGAAGACAAGATTCGTTTAGCGCACCGAGTGGAAGAGTACACGGAACGAGTGAGTACCCTCTTCGTTTCCGTTTTGATTTCGCATTTGGGTGGTTGCTTTGCATAGAATCGAGGCTAGCGTCGAAATACCTTTGCCTTTTTGCTACTTTCTAATTAGATAACAATTATTGTACTGATGCTCATGAATTTTTCTTTTTTTTTNTTTTTTTTTGCTAAATTATTGCATGATTCATGTTATTAATTTTAACTGCTAATTTTTTTATTTTGAGCGCCATAAAACGCTATAAATACAGATTGGGTCATACCTGCAAGATATTGATTTAAGATCAACGGCAATGTTACTACCAAAGCTAGTAACTGTATTCTATTCATCAGGATTGGAATATTCTCTCACGCATATATTTTTCAGCTGTTACATGAAGATGAACAGGTTGATCAATTGCTTATCGATCGTGATGTATGGAAATGTAAATTCCTTGCGCAGTCGATCCGTACGGATGAACTCAATATTCGATTAGAGTTCTTGCTTGGTATGCTACGCGACGCTCAACGCGTTGTAAGAGAGATGTGGTACGCTCTTTCTTTTTTCTCGTTTTCTGGAACTTCGACTTTCATATTTCATCTCACCACGTCACGTAGAGCGCTTGATATTTTTTCCAGTACATTATATGTCCAGCTTCTTATTTTAATTGTACGCCACAAATCAAAAACTGAATACAGATGAATTCAGTGACGGCGCTTCAAATGTGAGTAAAGACGCCACTTATCTTGCCAATCTCGATCTTGCAACATTCTTCACTCGATCGCCATGTGACGAAAGAGTGCAGCGGAAGACGCCAAATTACGCCAACGTCACGGTCTCGTGTTGTCCTAAATGTTTTGGTCGTGAAATTCATTTACTCTGAGCCAAACATCACCAAAAAGAAGTCAAATTGTGCTGGCGAGCAAGGAGAACCGCCTCGAAATAGGGCAGACCAATCGCTTGCTTCTCCAAGGTGGATTCACAGCTAGGGCTTTCGTAGTCTTTCATTTCGTGAAAGCCTTTCTTGAAGCGGTATTTTCACTTGTGGACTTAACCTCTTATGTATATACTGTATATTTTCAGCCGTACTAACAACGTTTTTGAATATTAATTACCTACTTAACTTATATTAACTCTATACCATTCTAAAACGGCGACTTATTCTCAACTCACAAAAAAGTCGTATACAAAAAGTGCTGTGTTTCAACGCTTGAGGTTCGTTATCGAGTTAGTTTGTTCGAATGATTGTTATGGCCTGAAAGCTTATTCATATCCTGTGGGTGAGCTAATGAATGGTCTAGAGCGAGTTCGAGTTAAAAAGAGTGAATGGAAGTCTAGGTTCCATCTTTCATCTTAAAATTTCAAGCTCACGTTCGAGTTAAAGCTTGGTTCTGGTTCCGAATTTGGTCTAATCAGTAGAAAGGCTTGGGTGGTACTTCGAACAGCAATGTTGTTCGAATGTCCACAATATTTACCGCTTAAGTTTTTTTTCTTAATAAACTCCTGTGACTGGTGACTTGATTTTCCGGTACTAGTCCACAGCCTTGAACATTGGAAGAAGCAGGAGCTACTTCAACCAATCATGCTGGGAGAAGTTTAAGATTATTCCAATATGGTAGGAAGTCGGTCCGACTGCCACCTTTTTTCACAATTTGGTCGACTGAATAGACAAATTAATGGAAATGAGTCTGAAAAAGTTTTTGCGTTCTTTGCTCCATTTTGTGGGGTTTAATACGATAGTTCGAACTACCACACCGCTTTGCAATCTCTCTGATTTATCCGATAAGTAAGAACTACATGACATAGTTTCGGGCGCGAAACATATCGCAGAATTCCATTTCGAGAATGACTGCTAAGTAGAGCGAAGAAATGCATGGTTCGAGTGCGAATTGTCAAAATAATGTGGTTGTAAGTATAAAGAACGCATATACCTGAGGGATTGTTCTGGATATGGAACTGACGGTAGATCATGTTTTATTTACTGTAAGTCGTGTTTGTCGGTTTTCCTCATCTTATCCCTTTTGTAGATAACAAAGGACTAGGGTTGTTGCTTTGTCTAACCCATTATGGGGTGCGCCCAGACATTCAACTTCCCATCAAAACTATAGCAGCAATTAATCCGGCATTCAGGCTGAACATTAGTCATCGGAGGCCAACCAATGTACATGCAACTCAGTGCTCATATCAATCAAGCATTGTAAAATAAACCGATCCCGAATTTTGATTAGGTTGGGAAGATCTGTGGGAGTTAGCTCTTTCTGAGGAGGTGGGGAGATCAAAAAAGTCGCTGCTACATACACTAGGATCAAATCCCGGATCAGTGTCTGTTCCGGAAGCCAAACACTATCTTTTGGGGAATCGGTTGTATCACACTCTTTAAGGATTATAAAAGCACTGACTTGAGCATTTTTTATTTTCATAGTATAAGAAATATGCTCCAATGCTCATGCAGTTTCAATCAGTTTCACTAGCGTACTTTTGAACTCGGCGCCTCTTGAAAAGATATATTGTTCCCGAAGGATTCTAACACCCTGCTGAATAGTTTCTCAGCTTTTGTTTCAAAATTCTACACGTGTACTTGGTCCGCGGTGTGGGCATTATGTAGAATTTCATATGCATTCTTCCATTTTTCACTCCCATTGTCTATTTATAGACGGTTTTTTCTTGGTGTTCTGAACATTTTGATGCTTAGTAATTTATTTCTTCTCGTTCATGACCGCCTTTTACCCCTTTGAGCTGTTGAATGTCGCGTAAGACTAAATGTTGAGTTAGGTCGTTTCCTCCTTTACTTCGAAAGACAGTAGTACATTACTTGCCATGCATTTTATGGTCTCCTTTCAGCAATTTCCTTTTGAACGTATACCTGCATTGTTCATGTTTGAATATTCTATAAGTTGTACAGAAATTTCATACATAGGTGATATTAACATGTGCAGTTTGAATTCTCAAAGTGTTGTGAAAATGCAATCTACTGTGAATTGTGATACATAACTCTTTCAAAGATGATTATTTGAAGAATTTTGTTTATTGTGGGTTCTACAGTGGATATATGAAATATTTGGAGTTTTTTTTGTGATGTTGATGTGGATAAAGGGTGGAGTCAATTTGAAATGGTTGGGGCTCTGAAAAGTCAATGTCTTTCGTTTCGCTTTAAGAAATACTCTTCTATGTCACCAGCAAGGTGAAAGTCATAGAAAATTTTTCTTTCTCGTCCATCAATAGTAGTGCCTTGAGGGACTGTGTTAAGAGGTCCAGGTTATTGGACCGAAATAAAGCCGGGAGTCGCACAAGGATCGGCAGAACCTTGTGTCACTTTACCAACTCTGTCTTCTCTGTGAAATGTCAAGACCAATTTTTTATCAGCGGAATTACGGTGGGCGAGTTTTCGAAGCTCCCCTTGATCTAACTTTACCTTTTTTGTTTCATTTATGTAAAGGGAAAGCCTTTAAAGGAACACTTTATCTCAGTCTCAGAAGGAGAAGGCAGTAGTTGTTTGCTTCAGAAATATGCAGTCAACTTCTGGATTGCGTCTACTCCAATGTGGATAGGCACCTAATGTTTCGCGCAAAAATTTGAACGTGTCTTCATTTTCTCCTGGCATTAGAGCCTCGTATGGTCTGCTGTTCTCGTCAGCCGTCTCCACCTTCATCTGTCTTTGGTATCTTCCTCGCGTACCTCAGTATTGGCAACCTCCTTAATCATGTGCCACCACGTTTTCTTTAGGGCTCCTCGTGGTCATTTTCCCTGACCCTCGGACTCCATTGTTTCCCTTATTGAATGAGTCGTTGGTCTTCTCAGTATGTATCCGTACTATGGTAGACTCGGCACTCTCATGGTTTGTAAACCAGTCCAGTTGCGCACAACCAACCGCAGGCTGAACTGAACATTCCAGCGGAGTGAACCTAACTTAGATGGCTTTTTCTTACGGGCCAGCATCAGCCAGTGGCTTCACTACTGCTCGGTACACCGTTCTTCTTGGCGTCCTAAACCACCGTCGGTCAAAAGGGAGACTAGTGTGCTCTCTTCACTTCGCCATGCCCCATTTATTCGAGCTTTTCTAGCTCCTTCCACGCAACCGTCATCAGTGAGGTCGCTCCCCCGATATCGGAGGTCCTGCATTTTTTCGATGCTTGACACCAAAAAATCTACGATTGACTCTGCGCGGTCTCTGATCGGTGGAATATTGGTCTTTTTACGTTTAGCTGGCCTACTCCCCACCAGCACGTTTTGCCGTTTCTGCAGTTTGTCCCGGATTTCGTCTCCGCTCTCCACTGTCAGAGCGATGTCTTCAGGTAAAGAGTGGGCTCCTGTGATCCTCTAAGAGTTTCCCTTTTGCTTAACCAGCGAAGTCAAGTGTACTAGAACATTTCGCTCTCGAAGCGCTCTCTATCAAACTTGTGGCGTTTGGGAGCCTTGCACAGATCGAGGAATGCTAGTTAGCAGGGTCTGCGCTTTCCTCGATTCTTCTTCATAACTTGTCTAGCTATGAAAAAGGCCCACCTGACATCAAGCCTGACTACTCCTGTGAGTTCGAGACCAGTTCCTTCGATTTTGACTCGATCAAGCGCTTGTACAGTCTCATTATGCGAGCGGTCACCCTGATCTCTCAGTTACTGGAACGCTCCATCGCATCCCCCTTCTGCTTGAAGATAGGAATGGTAGCGCATCTCCAGGCATCTAGGATTATCCCTTTATGGGTTACACTGTTCAGGAACCGAGTTAGCCCCCTAATCTCGAGCGCTTCAAACGTTTTTCATGGTTCGATGTGTACTCCACTCAGGACAGTTGCCCCTTCATCTTTCCTAGTGTTCGACAGCTGACCTCACCGCACCGTGGACGAATACATCTTCTGTCCAGAGTGTGATGGGACCAGCCATCGCCCCTAACTGTTCTCATAGTCTCACGGTTCTCGCGGTGAGATTCCTCGTATAGAAACCAATCGAAAAATCTTTTCCTTGCCCCTAACCTCACCAGGCTTCCTCAAAATTGCACCGTCGCTGCTCTTCACAGTACTCCATACTTAGATCACTCGACGAACTTCACTCCTTCTAAACCAGCGAGCTTCTCCAAGGCATCCAATTCCTTTTCCTTCTTTGCTTACGCTACATCAGCCCAGCTTTTGCGACTCGTGCTCTAGACTAATCTTCTAGAACTAGGGAATTTTTCCAGTACTGTAGGCACCTATATCCTGCCCAACATCCCTCTAAACTTCATCGTCCCATAACTTCCTTGTCACATCGGCATCCGTCTCGAATCTCTCTCAACGTAACCATTGTGCACCGTAGGGTACTTATCACAGGGTTGCTGCAGTTCTGCTGAATCGGGTTTTTGGGATCTGAGAAAGAAGTTTTTAGTATCCCCCTTATATATAATCTTTTTGGGCCCGGTGCAGCTTTCAGCACCTGTCCCTCCTCTCCGTACTTACTCTTGAATTCTTGAGGAGCTGTTTCTGCTACGAAAGGCTATTTTTCAGATCTTTACCAGGTAGTACTTTCATATCTTTTGCAATCTTGCGAGACATCTACTTTTTTTTTACAAGCACATGATCGATTTCAGCTTTTTTACCTACTTTGCCATAGGTTACATTGTGAGCCCTCTCCTTGCGAAGGAGGTGGTGCAGAGTGCCAGGTCGTGGGCTGACATTGGAAGCCCTTCTCATTCTCTGTCTGTGACTCCTATTCCCCTACTTTCGTAAGGCTTTTCGAGACCTATTAGTTCACTGCCAAAGTGGACATTGGGACCACCCGCTGTTATTGTTGATTCGCTGATCCTATTGATAGCGAAGACGGAGCCTTCGAGGGACTCCGCTACTGCTATGGCCATCCTGGTTCGAATGGTGAGATCCCTGTTGTAGTACATGGAACCTGTCAACTCTACGATTTC